ATAATCATAATACTCCAAAGCAAACTTAATTAAAAGCACATAGTAAAAGCAATAAACACATACGCAATACCACTTTTCACATTTGGCGTTATTGTTATAAAATGGTCGAATACGGAAACTGAAGAACTAATTATACCAAATATAACCGTGATAACTAAATACGCATACACCACCCCAAATCATACATCTAACGCATGACACTACCACGCACACAAGGCAAGAGAAGAACGTTGTAATTTGGAAATATCGCTCACTACTTAAAGATATATAAAAAAAACAGCAAAAAACAAAGACAAAAATATATAGAGCAGGAATTAGACCGGTGATAGCATACAGAGCGAAAGTAATAATATGTCTTACGAAAAAAGATAAAGAAAAAGTAAGAATTATTAAAAGCAAAATTATAAGAATAAACAGCCCAATAAAGCCTGAACAAGGAGAATATAGAAGACTAATGAAGCATGAAATAAGAGATAGAAAGAGGAAGACATAGTAAAATTTATTAATCCACAAAGACTGAGATAGTTTGAGCACATACAAAGAAGAGAAGAAGCACTAATTAGGAAGATAACAAACCTGAAACCAGTAATAAAAAGAAGACATGTTCGTATGTTTGAAATAACATTTTTGACGATTGATCATTTTTCATATAATTCTCACTAAAATATTTAATAATACCAGATAATTTAATTTTTAAGGTTGATCTGAACCCCCCAAAAGGTTGATCTGCACCCCCCAAAAGATAAATTCCGAATTCAAAAAATTTGAAAAAATTTGAGAATGTGTATGAGATGACTAGAAGTATTTTGACAACTTTTAAGGAAACTTCATGTGTTCGTGTTTAAAAAAAACTCAAAAAAACTACTTTTTTCCAAGTATAAAGGGAGAAAACCAGACATATAATTTTGTTAATTTTTTTACAGCATCAAGATATAATTATAAGAAATACTTAGGAATATTTTGAAAATTTTTGAATTTACAGTTTTGTCTCAATAGGAAAAAATAGTATGTTTCTGCTTATAATAAAGCTTCCGGTAAGAAAACAAAAAAAAAATTTAATAACAACATATAAAACTGTAAAAGTGGAAAATATTTGCAATAAAACGTTAAATATTTTTTCCTAAACATATGAAAAATCTCGTTAAACAAGAAATATGTCTTGAACCGCCGCCTTCTTATTATCTCCCATCATCTCTAATCATCTCCCATATTATCAATACGTTCCTGAGAGTATGCTTGAGAATGACAACTACAAGCTATACTGGGATCGCACTGTGCTCACAGACCAAACTGTAGCACATAATAGACCAGATCTCGTGCTAGTTAATACACTAACAAGACAAACAACTCTAATCGATGTGGCGATACCTAACAACAATAATCTGCGTGTTAAGTACAACGAAAAGATCATCAAGTACAGAGATCTGGAAATACAAATAAGAAGACAACGGAGAATGGAAAGTACCCAGACGATACCTATTATTCTTTCTATCACTGGAGTAATTCCGAAGAACCTCCTAGAAAACATAAAAAAGCTGGGTCTAAATGAACATCTATATAAGGTCATGCAGAAAGCTGTGCTACTTTCGACGTCTAGATGCGTGCGAAAATTTTTAGGAGATACACCGACGTACCAAGTCACCTAGGACTCGATAACATGGAAACTGTCCCACCAGAGCTCAATCCTTTTGATACCGTAGGTATTTGGGATAAGTGAATTTTCCCCTTAGAGGGAGTATGAGCCGTATGGCTAAATCTGGATACTCATGTTACTCGTGTTATTCCCAAAAATCACCTAGCGAACATAAAACAGCTGGGTCTAAATGAACATCTATATAAGGTCATGCAGAAAGCTGTGCTACTTTCGACGTCCAGATGCGTGCGAAAATTTTCAATAACACAGAAAGAGTCCCACCAGAGCTCGATCCTTTTGATACCGTAGGTATCTGGGATGAGTGAATTTTCCTCTTATAGGGAGTGTGAGCCGTATGGCTAAATCTGGATAACACTCAAAAGCAAACTTAATTCCAAGCACATAGTAAAAGCAATAAACATATACGCAATAACATCTTTCACATAGTCCTCATTTGGCGTTATAAAATTGTCGAATACGGATACTGAAGAACTAAATGGACCAAATAGAACCGTAATAACTAAATACGCATCAACCACTCCAAATCATACATCCAACGTACGACCACCACGCACATAAGGCGGAAGAAGAACGGGGTGTTTTGAAAATATCACCCACTATTTAAAAATAAAAAAACAGCAAAAAAAAACAAAGACAAAAATACATAGGGCAGCAATTAGACCGATGATGGCATAAGGAGCGGAAGTAATGTGTCTTACAAAAAAATATGAAGAAAAAGTGAGAATTATTATAAGAATTAAGAAGAAAAATTATAAGAATAAACAGACCAATAAACCCAGAACAATGAAGCATGGAATAAGAAATATAAATATAACCGAAGAAGAAGACATAGTAAAATTTATTAATCCATAAAAACAGATAGTAATAAGATTTAAATAACATTTTTGTCATTTCCCACTAAAATATTACATAATCATAATACCAGATCACTTTTTAATTTTTAACTATCAACAAAAATGTAATATAATATGATGTACGAATTTACTGGTAATACGATACTCACAAAGAAAGCCGCAACATAGATAATTTATTTGTCGGTAAAATTGTTTAGATAATGAATGAATTTGGTATATTATATTCCGACTGACATAGCAGAACAGTAAAGTATTATACATAAAGATGTTGTTATAAGATATCTTTGCTTAGTTGGTCTACTAGTAGCCATATAAGTTATAGCATATTTGATAAAATTACTGTCTACACAATTTGGCAACTCAGCCAATTGATATAATGACAGAAAACTGCAATTTATGTTAGGATTTGAAAATATTACAGAGTCGTCATGTAGAAATCTACAATTAAGTTAAAAAATTTACCACAGTAACATGCCGCAGTAGAGCCATCTCTAGGATCAGAAACAAATTAATCGAGGGTGAAGATCAACCTTAATGATTTTTCTTTAATTTTTTGTGATGTATAATGTAGGTTTACCAAACAATCAAAGTTATTTGCATTCCAGTACAAGAACATATTATTATTAAAAAAATAAGACTCCATCCACATAAATATCATTGAAAAACGATTCATGTTATCTAAAAATTTTCAAAGACAAAGAAATATGTACTGCGTCGGAGATATCTGTGCAGATCGTATTATCATCATATTCATACTTGTCATCATATATTATATTTTTGTTGATGGTTATAAATTAATTGATCTGGTGTTATTTAATATCTTAATAATGAGATCTTATTTAATATCTTAATCGTGGTGGGAATTACATAGTAGGTAAATGGTCAATCGGCATCTTATGTAATGATATTTAAAACTATTATATTTATATACCTGAAATATTATGAAATAAAACTTATCTATATACCTGTCTATAGAAGGCGGAGACAGAATGATTTCATTCTGTCTCGGCTTCTATAGACAATCTAGCATCGCCTACTTTCAAAATTTTTAATGTGTTTGTTCGTTCTTGTGTAGTGTATTGTAATGTTCCATTTTATGTTTATGACATTTTACTCTTATCGGATAGGCCGCAATTGACGAAATACCCCTGAAGATGATCTAGTGATCGAAAGTACTTGGGCCAGATTAAATTAATACTGTGCTCGATATTTGCCTTTTATATTATCAAAGTTCAATTAAATATTAGAATGAATGGAACTATTTTTAATATATCGACGCAAATTCTCGTATTCGCTGACGATATAGTTATAGTGGGTAGAACTATGAGAGACATGGTGCAGTGGTTTACAAGGCTTGCGGGCGCGACAAGTGAATTAGGACGGTAAACGAAGAAAAAACCAAATATATGTTGTTTTCTAAAAACCCCTGAAATATCCAACAGAAAATTTAAATTAACAACCATGCCTTTGAGAAAGTTAAAGAATTCACATATCTTGGATCGGTACAAACACGACAAGCGGCGAAATAAAGACGCATGGCAATAGCAAACAGAACTATTAACGGTCTCCAGAAACAATTAAAAAATAAAAATATAAAACACGCAGTAAAGCTCAATATATACAAGACCTTAATAAGACCGGTTTTGATATATGTGGCTGAAACGTAGACCTTATCTCAAAATGATGAAAGACTTCTTGGTATTTTTGAGAGAAAAATTTTTAGAAAAATTTTTGTTTTGTATAACTGATAAACAATATCAGTTATACACCGATCCAGATATTGTGAAATTCGTTAAAAAACAGAGACTTAACTGGACTGGACACATTGCTAGGATGTCAGATCACGAATACACGAAGAGATTAATATTTTCAAAAGCAAAGGGCACAAGAAGCAGAGGACAACCACGAAGGAGATGGATTGATGATGTGGAAGAAGACCTACAGATTCTAAGGGTGCGTTCATAACGGAGACCATCGCACCGTCTCCTCGCCTAGAGCGTAGCACTGACGGTAAACGCTCGCCTAATGCTATTTATTTTACCGAAAATCGATAAGATGATACCATCCCATGGCCCGAGCGAGGTCATGAACGCACGCTTAGGGTAAGAAGATGGAGGGAAGTTGTCAGGAATCGACAGGAGCGGTGACTTCTTTGTGAGCAAGACAAGATCCACAACGGATTGTCCAGCCACTTATGATGATGATAATGATTAGGAGAGTATACTAAACATAAGATTACTGTATTTAAAATGTCATTAATAAAATAAATTTTATTGTGTGTAATAAATTATATATAAATATTACATTCAGTTAATTTGCTTTTAATAGAACAAAATCCAACATTCTTTTTTACTGAACATAAAATCTAGAAAATTAAATCATTTACTTTTCAGGTAATTGGAATTATTAAATTTTAAAGCCACTGTTTGAGGCTCACTGATCATCGCTTAATTAGTTATCGATCAGCTGTTTTATACAAAATATTTACTTACTCTGTGTACAGTTCTCCCATTATGGCGAATACAATAACGCTAAATACAACAGTGGTCAATTGATGGCCTGCACCAATCAAAGCAGAAAAGAATAGAGAATGTGACGCTGGACGGAAAACATCCCCGTGTACTTGTTTCCAACCATATTCGTCTCCCAAATCACGTTCCTGTAAGAGAATAAAAAAAACAGATAAGTTAGATTAAAAAATGTTAATCGTTAACAAAGTTTAATGATCCTGACATGAAACTTGGTTATAAAAACTATGTGAAAACAAAATAAAAATTTATTGTTACTTGGGCATTTTAGCTGTAGCTTATTTAACATTTGATAATTGGAAAAGATGCTTGAATTAATTAATCATTTAAAAATCTAATCAAGTGCTACACAAAAAATCACTATATCTTTTATTTTAATTTCAAGTGTTACTATTCATACGGCTCTGTACTATATACTGAGTATTAGGTTAACACGTCGCATGCTTAAATCCTAACCATATGCTATTGATAGGTGCTGAGAGTATTTTTTTTGTAAATCGTTATAACTGTGATTGGTTTCTTGTTGGTAGAATACATTTATAAATTTTCTCCTAAATTTCGTATTTTTAACGCGTGACGCTCATAGGCGTCGTCAGCACTAGATCATTAATGCTTCATCCATACGCTAAACATTTACTGGAAATTTTAGTAGAAAACTTATTACAATAATAATGTTCTAATTACAAATTATTATCATTATGAATATGTACAAAACAATTTCCAACACAAAGGCGAGGTTTTTCAGGACAGAAGCTGCACTCAAATATCGTATCTTTTCTTAAATTATTCTTTGAACATACCTTACATCATTTTTTCTTTATCCGACCTTTACTATCAACATTTAAAATTTTTGTAATGTTTTGCTTGTCTGTTGATTGTTGTTGTTTGTATGCTGCAGTAACCAATACTATTTCAGAATTTTTTAAAAGATATCTGATAATTTCTAAACGATATTCATATAAATTAATTTTTCTACCAGTGTATGGAGTATAACTTTTGTATAAATAATAGAAATTTAATATCAAAACTTGAAATATGAATTTTTATATCATCTGAACGTCTTTCGCTCACATGGATAGTAAGCGAGCATTTGATCTTTGCGATCAACACCACTCATAAACTCACTATATTTGGAAATAAGTAGGAGTTTTATTTTTATTTGGTTTCTTTTATTTTCAGTTTCGATAAAATCATTTTTAAATTCCGTGGATATGTACATAACTTCTCTTTTAACTTTCCACTTTCCTACTAAAATGCCATCTTTGATTTCCCTACTGTCTGTCCTTGTGCTGGTTTAGCTTCTAAAACTTTTTTAGGGTTACCTTTTCTCTTGGAAATTAAGTTCCTGTGCAGAAGGTATTGTTTTGTAAAAGTGTTTTTGCTAAATCAACACTTCCATAAATATTATCTATAAAAAAAATGCCAACGTTAAGTTTATCTCGCATTAGTTCTAAAACTACTTTTTCAGAGTGGCCTTTTCCACCTGCAGTCATAACGTCATGTATATAAATTTCATTCAAAGCGCTAAGCCGTTGGGTTCTGCCAACACATACAATTTAAGTCCGATTTGTGACGTTTGTTTCTCATATATATTCGAAAAGATAATATTTTTCTTCTTGTGGTGCCTATTCGTTACGGATGTTAGCAACTAGCATGGCAATTCTAACTTTATTGACCGCAGCTCGAAATAGTCCTGAAGTGGTCAAAGAAAACAATTTTCGTAAATTCTGGAGCCATATTTTTCTTCTTCCTGGTCGCCTCTTTCCGTAGACCTTTCCCTGTAATATAAGTTGCAGCAGGTTATATCTATGGTCGTTTCGCATTATATGTCCAAGATATTCTAGCTTGCGCTGTTTCACCGCGGATATAATTTCACATGTCTTATCCATCCGACGTAGAACCTCAATGCTTGTTACTCGGTCCACCCAGGAAATCCTCAGTATCCGTCTATAGCACAATATCTCAAACGCCTCGAGTTTTCCCATGGATTCCCACTCACCCTCGGTTAGTGTCCATGATTCAACCCCATAGAGCAGCACTGTAAACACGTAGCATCTCAATAAACGGATTTTTGTTTTTAAAGGTAGGTCGTGGCTCTTAAATATCTTGCTCATTCTGACAAACGCTGACCTGGCTTTTTCAATTCTCTGTTTTATCTCAACTGAGTAGTCGCATTGGTTGTTTATGGTGGTTCCTAAATAGTAGTAACGGGGCACTTGGAGTATTTGTTACTGATCTACCACTAATTGACTGGGTGGAATATGCTTCTTACTGATGACCTTTGACTTACTGATGTACTTTGTTTTCTTGATGTTAAAATCAAGCCCGTACTCCTGGCTGATTCTCCACAACTGCGTTACTAGTGTCTGTAAACCTTCTAGACTGTCTGCAAAGAGGATGGTGTCGTATGCATATCTGATGTTATTCATGCATTCACCATTTATGAGAATACCCTCTTCGATATGCTGGCTCATGACGTGTTCCGAATAGACGTTAAATAATAGGGGAGAGAGTATGCAGCACTGCCGTACTCCTCTCTTTATTGCAACTTCCTCTGTTAGTTGGTCTTTCACCCGAATGGTTGCTAATTGGTTGTAGTATATGTTCTTGATTACTCGAAAGTCTTTGTTCAGATCAGTTGTCTTTAGTATATCTACGAGCTTATCGTGCTTGATTCTGTCGAAAGCTTTCTGGTAGTCGATAAAGCATACATAAATATCGTTGACGTCTCTGCACCTTTGAAATAATACCTGAACCACGAACAAGGCTTCTCTTGTACCTAACGCATCCCTGAATCCAAACTGCGTTCGTGAGATCTGTGACTCGCATTTCTGATAAATTCTTCTGTGTATTATCTTTAAGAAGGTCTTAAGAATGTGGCTCATTAGACTGATAATACGATGCTCTTTTTTCCCAGCTCTCTGGTATTTTTCCCGAGTCATAGATTTTATTGAACGTTGTCGTAAGCCATTTTACTCCTTCGTCTCCCATAATTTTTAGAAATTCTGAATGAAAGTTGTCGGGCCCTGGTGCTTTACCTTCTTTGGTTGCTTTAATTGCGGCTTTGACTTCGTCTACCACGATAATCTATAATCTAAAGATAATCTACCACACCACAATACCCCACTTTCATCAGGGAAAAGATTTTTCCTGATTGATATATTTCAGCCATTGTATTATTCAAATAATTTAAAAGTGGTTTAATTTTAGAGTTTATCTTCTATTATACCCTCTTCTGTATTTCTGGCAAAATGTAGACAACGCAAAATAAGCAAGTAACGATCTCGGCTCATATTATTGTGGAAACATTTCAATTGAAAAAAATGATTGGTATTTCCAGTAGTCCAGTGATTCTGTTGGTTTTCGATGTTCACATATGCAATGTAACAGATACAGGATTCCATTGATTTATACGTGAATGTTTTGCAACGCCGGATAAAAATAACGATTTGGCATAAACATTTGTTTTCTGCACTATCATCTCAAAAAAAAAAATCTTATACAAGAAGGCAAAAAAAATCATAAGGAAGACCAGTCCCTGGAACATCTACTAATAACCCAGAAGATTTGGTAAAATTAATTTTTTGTATTCCAATATCGTCTTTCCACGAATCCTCACTTAAATTTGGCTCCTCCTGTATATTTTCATACCTACCAGCATTTCCATGTGACGCATCAACCAGTCCAGAATAATCTTTATCTTCTTCAATATCTAAAAAAAAATAATGCAATTGTACAAGAAAATCTAATGCTGCAAAATAATTCTGTTGATAATATTCTAAAAGGTTGATATTAGAAATAAACATTTCAAAACATGTATACAAATGAATACATAATGATATGATATGATGAAATGAATGATATAACTTTGAATATATTTCTCAAATCTCGTATTGGAATCATATCTGTACTTTATAAGAAACATACCTGTGTCTTCATCTGACAGAACTACACTCTTATTGGATTCACTGAATTTATCTTCACTAGATGAATTATTATTTAATATTATTATATAATTGATCAGTACTATAATATTTTAATCTTTTACAATTTGAATTATTTGTATTCATTTTACCACACCTACTATATTTCGAAGCCCCAAGGAAACAGAACAAGAGGAAGGCCCCGTAAAAGATAGATAGACGACGTAGAGAGGGATCTTAAAACCATGAACATCAGGCAGTGGCGAAGGAAAGTATCCGACAGGGCAGAATGGAAGAACATTGTTAAGCAGGCCAACACAAAGGGTTGTAGCGCCATTAGAAGAAGAAGAAGAAGACTATATTTCGATATTTTACAATGTTTATTATTTGCATTTATTTATTTGAATTTAGAAAATATATTAATTAAATAAATTTGATATGGCAAAATAAAGATAATATAGAATCTAAATTTAAATAATTTTATGAATTAGTTTTTGTACTTGAGATTTTTTTAGGATATTTAATTGAAAGCCGAAGTACAGAGTTACATCTCTAGTAGGTAAGTAAATAAACATTATAGGTAAAATCTTTTTTTTTTTTCTTATATGTAATATTTATTATTCGTAAATTCAGATAATCAAGGATCAATTGTGTATAACCAGGGAATTTTTTAGTATATAAGTAACTAGGTTAACTGTACATAAATGGTGGTGGGTAGCTTAAAGTATTAGACTGTATATATTTGGATAGGTATTAAATTTGCTTTGCAGACTAAATATTTCAATTATTACCTATTTTCCTTTTTTCAGCAAAAAGGGTATACAGCTTTATAAGATAGCTTTGAAGGTATATGTTAATACTTTCCTGACGCCCAATCATATCTTAAAGCAACTTCCATAGTTTATCACTTTCATTTACATTATTCAGATATATTTTTTTGATTACATTGTCATTCATTTTACGGTCTCTGTAGGGCATGCAAATTAGCCGAATTATCTTTTGAGTGTCAAGTAGTCACTGTCCTGCACATTCCGCTAGCCAGCCTTTAATTTATTTGTTTTTTATTACAATGGCGTAAAACGTCCATGTAACTTTTACATTAGCCCAAAATATTTTTGTTACATTATTATTTCACATTTTTGTTACAATGTTTGACAATAACTCGTACGTCGTATATAGGAGAATAATCCGCGGTAATTATTGCATTGTAGTTTGTTCTCCATATAATATTATTTACATTTCAAAATAATCATATATTCTACAATAATCTTTCGTAACATTTAAATGATAATGTAGTAGTAATCCTTTACTAAAAGTGTCTGATCATACGCGAAACACATAATGTATATAATGTTGTTATCTATAGTATTTCAATGTTTTTATTTCCTTTGTCCTGATCTTTAATACACGTTCCAAGTAAGTTTTAAAAAAGATTGAAGAGCACTGTTTGTTCCGTCCCTCCACATGTATTTTTTAGGTATTTTTTTATTATTTTCTTTTTATATTTAATTTTAATTAACGAGTGTGTGTCTATACATTTGTGTGTAAAGACGAAAATTTACACTTCGAGAATTCCATTCGGTCCTGCATTAAAACTTAAGACGGGACCTCAGTAATAGTATTAACCCCCTCAATAATAGTAACACACAGTTTTATATTCCGCCCCAGTGTAATAAGTATTCCAAAGTACAGCGCGCTGGAAAGAAACATTCATTCATTATCACAGGTACCGTACAATATAACTCAAGAGCCCCATTCACGTTGAGATCGGTATCGTTACATGTATCACGACAAATTGCGATATACGTTTCTTGAGACTTGTATCTGTATCTCTACAGTACCTACACGTTGAAATGGACTCACGAAACATCAGTTGAATTAAAATTTTCTTCAATACACATGTAGAAATGGTTTTGCCGCCGCCATCCGTGCTTATTGCAGTAGAATCTGAATTGCAGTAGCATTTCAGAATCGGCAATAAAGCTTAAAATGTCATAATACCACAAGTTCGGCACGTATACTTCATCGCTAGCAGGTTCACTTCTTAATGACGTTACAACTTTTTAAGTTCTCGTCTAAATGCGCAACGAAAGCTTTGTATTTCCTTCATGAAAAAATTGTTATCACTATTTGGATACTTTTCTTTGTATTGTACCAAAATTTCGATTCATTAAGTCGTCTGTTTGAATATTCTTTGGACTTTGAGTTCCACAAGCATGGATATAATTTATATAAATTAATAAATTCCCATGAATTTGATGGACATCTATGAAAAATACTATGTTTCATAAATCATACAAAGTTAATTTAATATTTTGAAGAACAAAATCCAATCTCTTAATACTTTACTTACCATGTCATCTATGTCTTCATCCTTGCTGTATCTGGCATAATCTTTCCTAAGTGTTCTCATAAGGATCATCGATACCAACCCTACTAAGAATATTACCATCATGAAGCTGTTAAATATGCTGAACCAATGAATCTGAAAATAAATAAAAAAAAAATAGATTTTCATTTTTTTTTATCTAATGGACTGTCAGCTACATATTGTTAAGACGAAGATTTATTATTATTTAGTAAAAGCATACTTAAATCGGAAATATAATTTCGTAATGTGGAGTCTAAACAACGATCCACGCTTCTTCTTTTTATGTAGACATAACTGTCTGTTTTTCAATGTGCCTCGGCCTCGGTGCATTCGGCTTATCATGATCGATCCATTCTACTCTTCTATTTCTTACCCAGTTCTTAATATTCTCCACCTTGCATCTACGTCGTATATCGGTACTTCTAGCTTTGTCCCATAGTGTCTTACCCTCAAGTGTTTTTATCTCTGCTGTTTCCAACATCCGCTATGCAACATCCTTTTTGTTCTCTCTGTGTCAAGTCGTGTTTTTGCAGCGTATGCCATTATTGGTCTGATGGCTGTTTTGTAAATTCTGCCTTTTATTTCTTTCCCGATTTTTTTATTTCTCAATATTGTTTCATTCAAGCAACCTGCGGCTCTATTTGCTCTATTCACTTGATTTTCCACTTCTGTTTCGATCTTTGCGTAGCTGGATAATGTGATGCCTAGATATTTAAACTCCAACACTTGTTCTGTTATTATGACCTTCCAGTTCTAATTAACATCTTAGTAAATTTGCGCTTTTAACCATGCATATTGTCTTTTTTGAGGAAATTAACTGGTTACATTTTCTGGCGGTTATATTAAAATGGTGCAGCATACATTGTAAATCATCTTCACTTTGAGAGAGTAGCATTGCGTCGTCTGCATAGCAGATTATTTTAAGTTGTTCTTCTTCCATTTGGTATCCTTTTTTAGTTCTTACTTTTTTAATTATTTCATCCATAATCAGGTTGAACGATAGAGGACTCAGGGAATCTCCCTGCTTTATCCCTTTGCCAACTTCAAGAGGGTAGGTTAGTTCTTGTTCTACTTTTACTTTTATTGTGTTGTTTTGGTAGATATTTTCAATCGTTTTGGTTATTCCTAGAGGTATCTCTCTTATGTACAATAAGTGGATAACGTCCTATAATTTAAGCCGGTCAAATGCCTTCTTAAGGTCCATGAAACATAGATACGCCAGTTTGTTGTATTCTAATGATTTCTCTTGCACTTGCCTCATTATAAATATAGCGTCGGTGCATGGTCTTCCCGACCTAAAACTGGTGATTCTTCTATTAGGGTTATAATTCATTCAGTTTATTTGTTATCACTTTGATTGTTCATTTTATTGTTGTCTTTAATAAATTAATTCCTCTGTAATTTTCTGGATCCGATTTGTCTCCCTTTTTGAAGAGAGGTATTAGGATGCTTAATCTCCATTCTTGAGGAATTATGTTTTGTTATAGTATTTTTTGGATTAGTTTTAATAGTTGTTTGGCCAGATCTGGTCCTCCGTACTTTAGGAGTTCGTTCAGTATTCTGTCCTCTCCTGGTGATTTTCGATTTTTGCTTTTCAATAATGCTTACCTTTAGCAAATAGGGATCGAAAGTAGTCTATTCATATTTCCTTCTGATTGTATTTCGTTTTTATTAGTTCGTTCATCTCTTTTCTTTGTCCTATGATCATTCTCCATATTTCTTTTTGTATTCTGTAGAAGTCGTGTTCCATCTGTTTTGAGAAGCCCTGCTCCCCTTTTTATTTGTCTGACTAAAGTCTCCGTTTCATTTCTGATTCGTTTATAGTGGTTGTGTGCCTGTTGTGTTTATTGTGTTCTGTATTGTAAAAAAGCTTTCTTCTTTTCTTCAAATTTTGTTTTCACTTCCTCTCTAAATCATGGGATTTCTTTTTTGATATGTTAGTGTTCGTTATTTTCTTCTCTCCAAGTGATTCTGTTGCTGCATTAATTATGATATTTTCAAGTTTTCCCCAGCTCTTCTCGATGTTATCGTTTTCTAATATTTTATTCCAACGATCTAAGTGGTCCTTATAATTTTGAGAAATAGTTTCAAGATCACACTTTTTTGTAATCTTCTTAAACGAGATTATGAAAATGCATTAAAAAGCATAAAAATTATAAGCATTATCTTATCTGAATCTGTACACGCTCCTTTAAATATTCTCCCAACCTTCACTGATGATTGTTTTCTTTTGTTAGTCAGTATAACATCCCTTTTTCGGATCTGGTGACCTCCACGTTACTTTATCTATTTTAGGGTATTCAAATTGATGACCTTATTATCATGTTGATTCTTGTTGCTAAGTTACAGAGTCTTTCATTCTTGCTCTTGTGAACAGTATGCTTTCCTGCTCCGTGTGGAGTTGTCTGTCTCCCATCGGTCGCGTCTCCAGGTGGTGAATTAGGAAACGTTCTATTAGGTCGTAAGACCGGCGGGAATGTTTGAAATAAAATACCACCCGCGAACCAAAACCGTGGATGACAGCAGAGATGACAGCAGAGATTTTCAGTGGAGAACTTTTGAAGTGGGATAGAGAGTTGGGACATCGAAAGATTCTTTTAATTGTTGACAATTGTACAGCCCATCCGAAAGTTAACGGTTTAAAAATCATTCAACTTCTTTTCTTACCCTCAAATTGCACATCTGCTCTGCCACCGATGGATCAGGGCATCATAATATTCTTTAAAGTTCACCACAGAAAACTTTTAGTTAAGCGGATCCTGAATAATGTGGAAAATCGAAGTGAATCCCCTGTTACTTTATTAGATGCCATAAATTTCATCCATACAGCATGGACACTCATAAATAAAAAAACCATCAGAAAATGTTTCGGTCATGCGGGGTGGACAGAGATTGAGGTAGAAAACGAAGATGAACATCCTGTAGCAGAGTGGTTGAGGTTACAACAGCAAGGTCAAGAATTAACCCAACTAAACAATGATGACGAGTTTGCTGAATTCATTGCCATTGATGATGACGTCATTGTTTGTGATCTTCCGACGGATAGTGAAATTATCGCGGAAGTAATAAACCCGCCGGCGGAGCGCTTTGTCGTCAGTGACGAAAGTGATGAAGATGGAGAAGACTATCACGGTGAATCTAAGCAAGAAGGTCCTACTAGACAAGATGTGGAAAGTGCTTTAAACGTTGTAAGAAACTTTATTCAAAGACAGAACCCAAATGAACAAGCATACAACTGTTTCACATCGTTAGAAAATATGATAGACAGAATGATACTGGACAGTTTAAAGCAGTCAAAAATGACAGATTTCTTAAAATTCCAGAAGCAATAATTTATTAGCATCTTTATGTATATATACATATATATATATATATATATATATATATATATATATATATATAAATATATATATATATATATATACATATTAATAAGTACCAATGAAGAACTAGATTATGCAACAGTATTTAGTATTAAACTAGATTATGCAAGAGCTTCAAGGTCAAAATGAAACTAGAAAGTTCTATAATATTATAAATAGGACAAGAAAAGAATTCAAATCAAGGCTGACGATGGGTAGGGAAAAATGGAAATATAGTTAGTATCAGTGATGCAGTACAAAGCAAATCGAATGAGAATTTCAAAGAACTACTTGGTACTAAAGTGGAAAATGATACCCAAATACCAAGAAATAACATCCACATAGGCCCTCCTTCAATATTGGAAGTGACAGATGCAATCATACGTCCCCAGGAGTGGACTGTATCCACGCAGAGCTCACAAAACATGGTAACAACACTATGCACCAAATTCACAGCATAAGTTAGAGTCTAAGAAGAAGAACAAATGCCAGAGGAATGGTGCATTAGATATGTCCACTGTGCAAAAAGGGAGGGAATGTAAAAATTATAGGGGTATAATCTTCTGAACACAATATACAAAATATACCCTATACAGCCATTTAAGTATGTACATAAAGAACTCCTTGGTGAATATCAAAGCGGTTTTAGGCCAGGTAGGTCAACAATTGACCAGATTTTTGTACTACATCAAACGTTAAAAAAACCCAATGAATTTAACATTGATACCTTTCATCACTTTGTGGACTAGGCAGCATAGGATAGCGTCCAAAATGTAAATTATATGAAGCCATAAATGAACTTAACATTCTCCATAAGACTCGTAAAATCAACTGTGAGTAAAGTCATCTACAGAGTGCAAATACAAGACAATCTGTCTCACAAGCCTTTGAAACATATGCGAGGTTATGACAGAGAGACATGTTATTTCTTTAATATAGGATTGGACAAGACTATAAGAGATACCCAGTTACACAGAGATGATGAAATTTCAGGGCCAGTTGTATATTGAATCGTTTTTCTATTTCTTGTTGGTAAGCAAAAATCTCATCCATGTACTCTTTTCACCTAATTGTTGACATCGATGTTAATTTAAAAACATTTTTCTCAACAAGTCTCCATCTTATTGTGAATGGTATAAATTATCAGATACCATTCTAATTTGTATCTTTTGTCGATGATATCATTGACTCTAGCATCTTTAACAATAGACCAAATAAAATCACAGCTAATAAAATATATTTTAAAAATCGCAAAATGGTATATTTGGGCCACATATAAAGAGGAAAATATAGATTTCACACTTATTATGAAAGAAAAAAAGAAAATTCAAGGACTGGCTAAAATAATGTTATATTGAAAAACTAGACTTTCATGTTACGATAAAACTTAGTTTTATAGTTTTTATAGTATTTGTCCCATTGTGAAATAGTCGCTATGAATAAAATAAAATTTATTACTTAACAATGGTTCCCTTTTAATGTACTCGTTATGCATATGCTATTGTTTTAACAAATCAATATGCAATACAAGTTTTTATACTATCCTTACTTTCACTATTTATCTAAATATTAAATTTAATCACCTCCTACATTTATTTATAGTTTATTGGTTTTATCACAGTTATATTAATAATAAAAATAAGTAATAAAATATACAGGAAGGCGTTATTATTATTAGGAATGATACTTTTATTTTCTATTATCTACGTTTAATAGTTTATTGTTAATGTTATTAGAAAAATGTAATTTAAATGATTTGAAAATCAATAAAAAATTAAAACTTCAACAAAGATAGAAAATACTAAACTGAAATCTTATATAAATTTACAATCACTCAACTCCCCCATAGGGGGTGAAAGAAAATAATTTACGTTCAATAAGATTCAGATCTGAACCAAGTGATGGCCAATGCAAACGCCTATTGCAAACCTTATTTAGGTATCGCTGAAAAATTTTGCTGTTAAAGCCTCACATTATCTTGCATGAAAATGACAGGTTCATATAAAAAGTATAGAAAAAATGATCTACAACTTCCATAATGTGTCAGCTGTAAGCACATAATGGCTGTGAGCTGTCAATTTTGTATTAAACAGTTCCTGAAGATATATTCTGTATCAGATTTCTGTTCTAAACACCTGGAATGTATCTATTAGTTTTTTTCATACTCATTGATATGTATCAATATATCCATTCTGACAAGTCAATTTTATAAATATATCTTGTTGCAATCGTGAACCAGTAGTATCTTCTACCTTTAATTCGAAGCCATCTTCTTTAATTAACAGCAGAATTAACTTCCACCATTGTTCTACACATGTTTCGAGTTATTCAACTCTCATGAATTGATGGTGTTTCTTTTTTTGAAACAACTGGGTTTGTAAATAGATGAGTCATCAATGTTCAAAATTCTATTTGTTTAAAAATTTTTTGTAAAAAAGAGGAATAACTGAAAAATATGAATTTTTGATAATATATAAAGTTAAACAAAACCTATCCAAAATTTTACGTAGTACTATAGGTACAATAATGTATGGAATGTTATGTTACAAATAACAAATTTAATGATGACATCCTGTATCACTGGAAGTGATATGGGTCTGCAAATATTTTACACATTTACATAGATTAGCTAAAATTATGCAAAAGTGGAAATTATCAGATATTAAATATAATGCAATCTAATGTTCAAGTCTATATGGAACACCCTGTACTTATGGAAAATAATAAACTATATTACTTACCCTATGTTGAAAGAAATTATGGTCCAAATACTTGTCAAATCTATCTTCAAACTTAATATTTGTTTTTTTCCAAATAACCTCATACGTAAACTTTAACTGAGTAGTGGGTTTCAATTCAACTTTTTCTTCTGATGTAAGATTAACGTCGATAATTTGTTTGCCATTGTAACCAATTTCAAACTTCTTGTGAGTCCAAATATAGTAGCTGTTGTCCTTCATTTCTCCAACTACACCCCATATGGGCAGGTCATCAATGTACATCTGGTACCAATAATGATTTTTCACTGCATATACAAATGCTTTGTATTTTTCTTCATCAAGTTGTACAGCACAGTAATCTCCTCTAGACATATTAACTAAAATACAGATGAAATATAGACTCAGTAAGAAGGTTATAGTGTTAATAACTTACTTTTAAATTCAATTTCTATTCCACTGAATTCAAGTTCTACCCCTTGGAGTGCCTCACTTAGTGTTTCATGGTAATGGCTGATAGTATCTTTGGATCCAATACAAAAAGGTAGAGAAAAGTATGCATATGTCTCTTGCCTATTATGGTAGGGTCCAACAGTATTCATCCATAGTACTACCTCTTCATTATCTTCATACTAAAAACATATGAAATGGTTAATTTTTTAGATGGTCATTTTTTTATACATAATGTTAAATTTGTGGCTTCGCAAAAAAGGACCATTGTAAATTTCATGCAGTAAGAGAAAAATGAGATTAATTGATTCATCAAATTTTGTTGTTTAATCCTTAAGTGAATTTATTGTAGACATTACGATATTTCAAGGGGCACATTTACAAAAAGTTACTTTTATGAAATATTATTTATGTTATATATTATTTGTTTATATTTGTTCTTATAACAATTTCTCAATAAAATTTAAAGTTGGGTCAGCCAAAGACAACAGCAGTAAAACATCAAATATTTTATTTTATTCTCACAATAAAAATTAAATATTAATGGTTTTTACAAAGTTAAAATAATCAATAATCAGATTTGTTATTGTCAGAACATCTTCAGCATCAAGGTCTGGAGATCTTCTAGGATTTTAAAAAGAAAGTCTTGTGCTAAATTAAGGGAATAACTCTTGCAAGTAATTAACTTTCATAACCATTATTGATTAATTTTCATTATACAAGTTTGTACAGTAGAACAAAAGATACACTTTCAAGAGTGTTCTAGAGATTCACTCTAGATCACTTCACTATTCTCGAGAATAGTGGCTGAATTAGGTTGGAAAGGAAATTTAAGGTAAAATTTTTACAAAAAATCATTACATTTAAAAATTATATACACAGCAGTTTTGAGACTGGCAGTCCTCTATGCAAGTGAAACATGGGTGCTAAAGCAAACACAAGAAGAAAAAATAGATACATGAGAAAGGAAAATATTGAAAAGAATTTTTGGACATATTAAACAGAGATAAGTATATAGAAGAAGATTAATAAAATCTTTCTCCTCCAACTTAATTTTCCAACATATTTTGACACACTTCAGTACTTTACCCATTTATATTGTTAATAGATTACTTTCTTGTGTATCACTGTCTACTTTCATTAACATTTTCTTTCCTTAATGTTTGAATTCCAAATACTTATTTCTATTGTCTTCATTTATCTTTTCAAAGTATATTAATTGGCATTTACAGAGTGCTTTGATGTATTTTCGCTTTTTGTCAGTTCCATCCTTTCATACATACTCTTTTATGTTTATGTATATGGATTTTTCTAAGGTGTTTGAAAAAATTTGATAAATGAATGTCTTGTTTAGAAAATTGGAGTTTTTAAGGTTGTCTTAGACCTCTTTCATTTACTATTTTATGAATGATATTTGGGATTATTTGATAATCTTAAATTTTGCTTAAATGTGACTCATAAAGATGATTGTTTATTGCTCCAGTCTGACTGGAATATGTTGGTTGACTGGTGTAAGGTGAATAGCATGGAGCTTAATGCTGAAAAGTGTTCAATAATTAAGGATCTGGGAATTTATATTGACTCATCTTGATCTTTTGTCTTCTGTATTAATGACATGGTTTCCAGAGCTTTCAAGATTTTTCGATTATATTAAGAGATTTCTAAAGATTTTAACAACATTTACACAGTCCATCTTCTATACTCCCTTATTAGACCTCTCTTGGAATGAGTTTTAATCTGAAATCTATGCTATATATGCTACATCCACAAAATCTAACAAGCACAAGGAAAATTTTTAAGGTCATCATCATCAGTGGTGCTACAGCCCTAGTTGGGCTTCAACCTTTACTTTTCTGTTGATATCAACAGGTCCTCGTAGACACTTTGTCTCAGGACCAAGTAATCTTATCTAGTCATATGTCACCATGTTACCAATTCCAATGGTAACTTGAACATCTTAATTTTTAATAATATATACTGTAACAAAAATTTAAATTAACAACATTTAACCGGTTTTTACCCATATATTGTAGTGCCTCAAAGCATATACTTAGTAAGTATTAACCACATTTTGCATTAACTTTAGTCAACATTTCAAATTTTAAGTTCTTTTTAATTAAAGTGGCTATATACTTTCAGGTTACACTGATGATGGAATTTACATTCCAAACAAGTTCTGTAATTGTGATATAGCCCCTTTGGGTATTTTATTATATACCTTTTATAAAGGATTTTAAATAAAAAAATTTTGTGATACATGGTATACAGCCACCTACAGGAACTTACGTTTCCTAGTGGATTTTAATTGTTTGTAGAATAATTAAATAGAATAATTTTGTAAAATAAATTAAACAATGTGTTTATAATGCATTCTGTATCATGTGTGCTAGAGGTGGGCTAAATATCACTACCCTGTAATTTAACCAGTGTGATTAGAAAATAACAATCACAACCTGTGAATAACAACAAAATATACTGTGACTGTGAGTTTGGTCTTATTCTATGTCTGTAGTTCTTGATCGCCAAAACATGATATACCACGTTCTCATCTCAGTTACAAGGTTGTGAAATGAGAGACAAGTAACAGGTTAACAAGGAATGAGATAGAGGTATTCAGCACATCAGCGGTATTGTAAAGTATCTTTCTAATGAAGAATGCAAAGGCAAAGATAATATTATATTGTCTTTAAAGGAATATGAACATCGCTAGTTTAGTGTAATATTAGTATGTAAACAAATAGTATTTGAAAAAAATGAAAAGGGTACTTGGAGTTTCAGTTTATTGAATTTGTGTAACACATTGTATTTGTAATGTATTGATATTCAATCATTTTTATTCTCATACATTTTAAAAATGACACTAGTGCCAAATAAAAAAAGAAAAATTAGTAGTTTATGGAACTTTTTTATGGAAGTGTATGATAATAATGTGTCATGCAACATTTGTAAGGCAAAGTTGTCTTATAAAATGAGCACATCTAATTAAAAAATACACATGCAAGTAAAACATCGGACTATATTGGATATACCGAAATAATAACACATGTAGAATATTATGATGGTTCATAACAGTAACACCTTTTTATTCGGAGTTTAACATATGACTATTTCGTTGCTGTGTTAAATCACAATCACAGGTAAAAATCACAATGAATAAAAAAATCACAATCACAGTTATACCTGTGATTACAGAATCACAGTTTAGCCCACCACTAATGTGTACTGTGCCTAATGTCTGCAAGTAATAATCATTTAACAACCAGTCTTCAATGCAGTGGAGATTCGCTTGTTAGAGTATTTTAAAAGTATTTCCAGGACCAATATCCACACATTAGCCCTTTTTCTTTTAAACTATAATAGAGTTAAGCCATTTTATAAGTCAAATACTTAAGTACTATAATGGTTCGGGAAATGGTCTATGAAAATATAGAACCTAAGTAGTTCCCATGATGGAGCAGTAGCCACTAAAGCAATTTCTGGCCCTTTTCTACCAAGGTCCAGAAATACTAGAATATTCTCCTGAAATATTCTTGAATACAAACTTATATCAGCCTTCGCTGACAAATAAATGCTGCCTTTAGTATGAAACAATTAATATCCTAACCTTTCGCTTTCGTTAATGGGAGTTTTTAGTTTTCTTCTTTAGTATACAAGAAGATACAAAACAACAAGATTTTAACTACTAATATACACATGTCAGCCAATTTGACGGAAGATCCAGATTGAGAGAAAATTAATCATTTGCAATGAGTAATTAAAGGTGTTTATCATGAAAGATATAAACAGTAAGCCTAAGGAGTCAAAAAAGGAACCGACGATTAAAAAAAAAAAATCAAAACCCCTCGAATTATTAATGATGCAAACTAAGTTAAGAGTCAACAAACAGTTTTCCAAAGAATGTTATAATGGTATATTAGTCAAGATAGAACTTACCATCATTAATATTCATAGATCATTTTGGGATTTTTTCAAAGCTAAATGTAAAAATATTCCTTTAAAATTTAAAGCAGCATCAGAAATAGCCAAATCCCTTTGCAGATAATGTTCATCTGTATACAGTATTTGTGTAACATTATTGTATATAATCCAAGTGTACATTCCAAATAAAATGAATTAGATTGTACAAAAGAAGCTAGGCCATGTGGCATTCTCTCCTGTTTAACAATGAAGTTTTATTATTGCAAATTTATTATACACATTTAAACAGTCACTTTTAAATAAGTTTTGTTATTTCTATTCATAACTAATTACCAAGACTGGTAATAAATCTGATGTTAAAAATTACATATTTGAGGGATTTCACCTATAATATGCACCTCCATTTTATGGATTACCTATAAGTAATGCATCTATATTAATAATATCCAACAGTCTGTGAAAACAGAATAAGGCGGACTACATAAAACTTTGAACTGTAGGATATCTACAAGCATAAGTTTTATGGATAAGATATTACCAATATAATCAAGCAAAACTGTCTGCAATGGGTAGGACATGTAGCCCAGGCCCAGAAATTGAACATGACAAAAAAAACTAACAGCAACCAGTAAGAGTAAGAACATGAGGCAGACCAAAACTGAGGTGGATAAGACTGGGTAAAACAGGATTCTGAGAAGATGGGTGTAGCCAACTGGAAAATGATGAAGAAAGCTTGATAATGAAAAGGCACTTTAACCTGTAGCATGATGATGATGATCCCACACTTGGTTTTGCATCTCTCATAATTTATAATGATCTTTTAATGAACTAGTGTGAGTACAGTTTTACTTAAAAATCGACATAAACAGTTTGATTTAAAACTACTTATGTATAATATTGTAAATCACATTATATCATTGTCAAGAATTTTTAAATACCCACATTTTATGTTTTACCCCTTTTAATCATGCAAACTATGGCTTTAATCCCATTATACCATGAGCTATAACACTAGCTAATTGTCTATCAAACAATTTGTGTATTAAGTATGTCCTTATTTTTAATTTAAGTACATTATACATTCTTTTAGTTTGTAATTTGAAATGATTTCGAAGAAATAATACATAATTTTTGTTACAATCTGTTTTATTCATCATCATTAGTAAGAAATCTTAAAATAAGAGATTACAGTACATTTAGGTACAAGCAACTAAAGTATTTTTATCTATATTTGGGTACAACATGCAACAACTTAAACTTATTAAAAGTGACATGTTGAATGCTCAAAAAATGAACTTTAATCAAATAAAAGGCAGATATCAAACACAGTTTTTTATTAAATCTTGCTTTAGTACTTTCGCTCCTACAAATTCACCAAATTGTTGGCAAGATTTAATAAAAAACTGTGCTCAATATCTGCCTTTTATTTGATTGTCCCTGTGAAACGGGTTAAAAAAGTTTTTTTTGAAGTGAAATATCAAAATTTACGGCTTGAGGAAGAAAATGAAACAAGAATTGGTCCTCTACTGTTTTCTTTGTCAATCCTATGAGTATTCAAAATTGGAGGTCATGGGATAAACTAATTAACATATCTCAGCAACAAATAAAGCAATCTAGGCCTACTATGGCTCATTTGATTAATAATTTTATAGGATTAAATGTACAATAACCAAAATTTTTTTGTTGAATGAACTGGGGGATTGCTCCTGAGATTGCCCTTTTAAACCTAGGCCACATTTCATAAATGCTTGGATTACACAGCCTGGGCTATACACTGAGAAAACAAATGTAGACGAAAGTTTAGAGGGACAAAATTGACACTCAAAGTTTTGCCCATAAAATATAAAATTTTTAGTGACAATAAAGTATATTTCTATTCTTCTCTCAGTGGTGCTACAGCTTAGTTGAACTTCAAAGTCTATTTGGCCAGTCATTTTTGTTTATCTTCAACTGTTGCTAGTTAGCTGTGCTTCAAAAGCTGATCTTCTTCAAATCCTTGTCCAAGCCATCCCTCTCTATCAATCTTGGTTTACCTCTAGTACTATTTAATACTGGTGCCGATAATAGGGTTTGCCTGGGTGGGTACTTTTCATTTACCAAGCTCAATATTTGCTATGGGTTCTATGATCTTGCACCCTTTGATGTATTGGTGTAATTTGGTATTTGTTATCTTTTTACATCTCATCCATCCTCCAGTCATTACAGTAGTTTGATACATATTTTTTCATTATTGTAATTCCTTACTTCCTACTACATTATTAATTATTAAATAGTGTTGTTTGTTTTGACATTTACTATTTAATGGAGAAATATTTGAATTTTCTTTTTTTATTATAAATTATTCACATAAGTTTTAAATCAATTGCATTACACCCTTCATTTTGGCCAAAAACAATTTCGTATTATTTATGTCTGAGATCACCATAATTATTTCATAAATATCCAATTTATACAACTATCAAAAGAGAAAGTATACTTAAACACATAAATCATATTAACTACAATATCTGATGAATTTTTTCAGACGAGAAATGGAATCATCCTTAATTAATTTATAAACTCATAGACTTCTATTATGAACTACAGAACTTTACAAAAGAAATATTCAGTTCAGAGTTTACATCACCATGACAATAATAAATATTTCATGTATTATGTATTTAGAATTCTGTATGATGAATTTATATATACAAATAATTTCCAGTTGTCTATGTATTTAACATTTATTTATTAAAATATAACAGTTATTAGTCATATTATTCAGGTATTGATAGTATAACATTACTTAGTAGCTTAGTACATAGGAAAAATGAATATACTTTAGATTTTCACTAATCTTTACAATATATATAAGTACTAAAAATAGGCAGAGTACCATTCCGACCACATGTTATTAGGATTATCTATTCCTCCCCAAAATTTTTTCATATGTAACAAAGCTGTGATTGTTATATTCTGTTGTATACTTGTATCAGTATCATTCTTAGTTATCTGTCAACTTTTAAAAGCAGCTGTGCAATGAACATTTAAGATATGTATTCCCAACCAACTTTTTTTCTATAAGCCTTATATTTTTCAGAGGAGACACAGTAAATCAGACTAAATAAAACGTAGGATCTTCCAATAAGCAATGAAAGTGAAACTAAACAACAAATACACTCTAACCCAATCTATAATCGTTTCTGTAAGTACATCTAAAGAATTATACCAATATTCTGGTATCGACATTTTAAATTTATTTATAATCAACGTGTATATTTGCTGCCACAATTATACATTATGTTTATTTCTGATTAGCAAAAAAAAATGTTCCTACTTACGATGTGATTGTGTTCGTCGGTAAACGCCCCAACTACGAACGAAAGCACAAGTACTTTACAAAGAAGATACATAATTATTACTGTTTTTCATCAAATTTGCCAAAACTAATCGAGCCACGGATTACTTTTATTTACGAAATCACCGGAACAAATACATCTTCTACACTCTACACGTAGACAGAAAAAATTTGTGCCTGGCTCTGCGCATAAATAAACTAAACATAGATGGCGCATTGACACTTTGACCAGTGACTGACAGTTATGACTATTTGCAAAAAGTATTTTGTAATTGAAATATGGAATCTACCGTTAAATTAACTTGAAAATGTGTAAAACCTACAAATAATCAAAACACACGGCAAATTAAAGTTTTTAATAATTATTTGATTAGGGAATAAAGTTTATTTTATTACAACTGTTTTGCGTGTTGCCTGACACCAGACCAAAATTTTTTCTTAGAACATAGATTTGATCTTCAATCCGTACCGACACATAAAATAAATTTTTATCGTATACAGTATGTCCCCGGATTAGGTGAAAAATGTTAGTTTTGAGAAACACTTTGGCTTGTTCTAAAATTCCATAAAATTAAAGTTTTCCAAAACCGGCGTCAATTTAAAAATAGAAATAATATATAAATTATAATCATACTTAGTGAGTCATGTTTACACTGTAACTAACTATCACTCCAGTAAATCATTTTAAAAGTATCTATTCTTTTTCAACCATACTAACTCTTCAACAAAGAATATATCTTGTAAGTTGTATGGTATTGGGGGTCTAATTCGTACAGATATGGATTTCAAATATTTAATGAAAGATATCCAAATTTTTACGCAAAATGGATTAAAAAATATACCTAGTAGGGAAATTTAAAGAAACAGGATCTATTGAAGATAAAACAAATCGAAAGAGACCCACAATAAGGAAGATGGTGCAGATACTGCACTTAATATATTATTGAAAAAAGGAACGCATTCAGTAAGAAGAATCCAAAGTTGAATTTACGAAGGTGAGCAGCAGGAGTTGGTTTTAGCAAGAGTCACCTACAGAAAATATGAGCATTCCCAAACCCATTCCCCCAAACATTACAAAACCCATCCATTCAAATCTAAATTTATTCACATTTTCAATGATCATTAATTGTGTTTATGATTTTCGTGCAATCAATAATAAAACACTTTAGTATAGCGGGGGAGCCCAAGCGGAGATTTTGCGCGTTACTCGAACGCGTCAGAAAATCATATGGGGAGAAACCTCGTACCCTGTAATGTACCCCATTCCTCAGAAAAACTCGAGCGCGTCAGATTAAGACAAGGTAAGTTAAGTACATGAAGAACAGTGTCTATTTCAATAATCTGACGATTTGAGCGTGGGATTTTTTGTATTAGACTACCTAAAACAGGAAGTTTAAAAAATAAATTTAAACCATAGTATTGAGTATCTGAAACAAGAAATAATGACTGCCTTAAATGAAATCACCCAAGATATGCTAAGAAACACTATACTATAATGTTTTTATTAATTATAATTTATTGTTCTTATTTTAATTTACTAAAGGTTCAATATTTATAACACTTACAAACTTAATTTATTTAAAGTTTATTTATAATAATTTGTCTTACATTAATAATTTATTATTACGATCGTTACATTTCGTTACTTCTCTGACTGACTTTGTTTACAACAAAATTTCTATTTAAATATAAACTGCCGGTGGCCCGACTTCCCTCGAGCGGACGACGACCTTCTCGAGTAAAAAAGAATCCCATGGATGTTGACCTGAGTTACCTCGAATGAACTGGAATCTAGACTGGTTTTTTATAGCGGCCTATTTCCAGAAAGTTCGATTGTTGTCTTTTATATCGGAAGGGGACCCATCGTGTCAGGTAGGTTTTACCTGGAATTTCTACCATCAGTTCAAATATAGAACATATAAGAATTAAAATATTTACGAGACATATCTATCGTAACAATACTTATGTAAAACCGTTCATGGTCAAATTTACCGAAAGTTCAGAGAATGATGGATCTTAGTTCGTAGTGCGAAAGTCAATGGGACCTAGACCAATGGGCGGAGTTCAAATATAAAAGCACAAACTACTTTTTCACGCTATTATTTACGGGACACAAGAATATAGATTATACCTTGAGAGGAGAGGCAAGACAATATATGGTAGCTTTTTGGACTGCGGAATAAGCGACAAAACAATATACCCACTGTACTTTACTATACTATACCACTGTACTATACTACTGTCTGTTCGCATGCAGTAAGTTCAATGGGGCAAGATCAGAGCTATATGCAAGAGTAGGCATAGGAGCACACAATTTTTGAATCGTACTGGGAAGAGAAAATGAGTTTAAAAGAAGTGCTGGAGGATGAGACAACAGGGGTAAACATAAATAACATAAGCAACAGAAAGAAAATAGAAGGAAAAGACAAGACTCCCAAACGAGGGATTATGTTCGGATGTACTCAGTCTACTCTGAATTCAACTCACGCCAGGTACGATTCACCTAGTACGGTCTTTAGACGATTTCCACCCTTACAAAAATCACGTTGGTATAATTAAGTGCATTTATCTTAACTGTTGCTGGTATAAACATAAACTCAAAATGATCCTTGGTTGAAAAAATGTAAAATTGGCAACATCGCAATTTCATTGTCCTTTTCAAGTTAGAATTGTTCATTTAATTGCAATTAAATTTATAGGATGGCCCAAGGGAGAAGTTACATTAATCATTAATAATTCTTCTATTTAAAGAAAAACACTACTTGAAATTATTTTAAAACTGTATTACTAATAATTGTTTATATTTTTTCAATTTACATTTAAGGTTACAGTTAAATATTGAGAAATTGATAATATGGTATAACTTTTGTATGTTGAGTCATAAAAGTGCATCCACATTCTCTTGGCATGCGCTCTGTTTACACAATTCTACCAAAGCAACTTGTAGAATATCTCTTCTCTCTTCTAATGCTGCTTTAATTAAAGAGCTTATTTCCAAAGTGTCTTAAATTTAGATTTTAAATAGATTTCTTCAGGTCTAGAATAAAGTTTTATACGCTAAAATGGCTTTTATCAAATAAAAATTGTATTTATTTTCAAAACGAATTGTCACCCTAGCGGTTTTATTTAAAAGGTGTCTTAAATCCGCCTGGTCAACTATTTATATATACGCATAGGAGTCGTGTGCTTGGTTATTTTCTCGTTTGCTTCTAGACGATGAGTATAATAACTAGCAAGCACATAGATAAATAATATAATAGGGCAAGCATTTGTGTTATAGTCGACACGTAATTTCGTGAGAAAATTTATAGGAACCAGAGCAATTAAAATACTAAAAAATGGCAACAATGTTCGAGTGACCACTGAACAGTAGCGTAGTTATGTAATTTTAAATTAAATAAAAGTTTTTATTTCTATTTAATTTTATTTAAGAAAAAGTTTCATTTTCTATAACGTTATGTAATTTTAAATTAAATAAAAGTTTTTATTTTTATTTAATTTTATTTAAGAAAAAGTTTCATTTTCTATAACGTTTAAATAATATATATATATATATATATATATATATATATATATATATATATATATATATATATATAGGGAGTGATAACACTAATCGACTCGACTAAACAGAACTTATTGTAAAATAATAATATCTATAAAAAATTGTTAATAAAAGTAATTATCACATACAATTAAACAAATTTTTTATGTACAAGTATTTTAGTATACAAACGTTTTAAAATGTGATTATAAGTTTTCAAACTTATAATCACATTTTATCCCTGATAACTTAGTTATTATAATAAAAAAAATATAGAGAATTCATTTTTTAAATTATATTTTGGTTTGAAACCGTGTGAGAGAAGACTTAGTACCTCAATAATTTTAAAATGGGTAAGAGGTCTAGAACTTTTATGAACATATTTTTTAATATATCTAGCAGGTATTTTATAATAACTTAACCTGTACTTTGACTATTTTAAATTAAATAATTATGTTGTACGTTTTTGTTCTATCATGAAGTGTATTTGTACTCATTTTCAAAGATATACCTATAAGCAAAACGAGAATATCTACAATTACAATAAAAATAAAGGTTTCAACTAACACCTAGTTGGAAATTATAACTTACTAATCTACTCAGAATCACTGTTATCACTAATATCAGTTGTATCTTCTAAATTTATAGTTAATTTGGTTAATGCTGGTAAATGTTTAACATAGTCATTTTCCACTGCTATTACATTTTTCCAGTTGGTTGCTGTGATCTTTGTGACTTGTCTTCTAGTTAACTGGAGAGCAGTAGACAAAAGTTTAGAAGCAACGTTTCTTCTTCTTCTATTTCCTTCAAGTTGAGTCCATATTATCTCTATTGGGTTCAATTTACAATAGTAAGGAGGAAGTTCAAGCACGGTATGCCCATTACTGCGAGTACAGTTATCAACAACATATTCCTTCTGGTACTGTCTCTACCATAAACAACATCCAACAAATGAACGTTTACATCTATGGTTCCTGAGTTGAACTTTTTTTATACTTCATTTCCATCATATTAATAGCTGAAATCATTATAATTGATGCTCGTACTTCTTATTCGATATATATATATATATATATATATATATATATATATATATATATATATATATATATATATATATATTATATATATATATATACCTATATATATATATATATATATATATACCTATATATATATATATATATATATATATATATATATATATATATATATATATATATATAGGTATATATATATATATATATATAGGTATATATATATATAGGTATATATATAATATATATATATATTATATATATATACCTATATATATATATATATATACCTATATATATATATATATATATATATATATATATATATATATACCTATATATATATATATATATATATATATATTATATATATATATATATATATATATATATATATATATATATATACCTATATATATACCTATATATATATATAATATCTGAAAGAAGGGATTTTTCAGATTCATTCAGATTTATATACCTATATATATACCTATATATATATATATATATATATATATATATATATATATATATTTATATATATATACCTATATATATATATATATATATATATATAT